AGATGTCCCACAAAAAATTTGGGCCCGATCGGTTCAGACGTTTTGACGTTTATTGGATACAAACAAACAGACAGACAAGCCAAATTTATATATAGATGTACTGCAGGACCGGTTTAAAGACGACCCAACCTTATTGTTTCTGTTTACATTAATATATCTAATTTACTGCACGACCGGTTTAAAGATGATCCAACCCAAATAGGTTCTAGTACAATAGATGGCAACGTTGAATTTGTACACTATCCGTACAGCTGCATTCTTTCGTCACAAGTGTCAATTAAGTTTTTGTGTCCGACAAAATTATTAATAAACTTGTGACGTCGTATACAATTGGTCCATTTCTCTGTTTCCACCTATTGTACTTGATAATCTATTTGCTGGTTTTGTTTACATTAATATATCTACTGTACTGCAGGACAGGTTTAAAGATTATCCAACCTATATTATTGATGTTTAACTAATGTACGAAATGTACTGCAGAACCGGTTTAAAGATGACCCCTGTTAATGATGTTTACATTAAAATATCTAATGTACTGCAGGACCGGTTTAAAGATGAACTAATCCTGTTGTTGTTGTTTACATTAGTATATCTATATATTGTACTGCAGGACCGGTTTAAAGACGACCCATCCTTGTTGTTGATGTTTACAATGATCTCGAAATTCTTCCTTGATGAACTAAACCTAACCTGGACGAATACAGAGGAGATCCATCATATTGTTGGTAAAAATACCGTTTTATTTTACATTTTTTTGATCAATTTGATTTGATTTACTATTAAATTCTTTATATCCGAATATACAGAGCGTCCCATATCATATCGGATTATCTCCACTCTTTAGAGCCAAAAATACGCACATGTATTAAAAAAAACCTAGTATTTTTACGATGGCCTTATGCGATTTTTAAAATAATTCATTTTCTTTAAATTTTCCGATTAGTCGCGAAAATCGTTATTTAGAGACAATAACGATCCGATATGATGTGCAGACACACTATAAAAGGTATGAGTTGGCAACAAAGCACGATTTATACGAAGCTTTTGTGTAGAATATCGGAAATCTTGAATTTTTTATCTCGATATCCAATATGGCCTATGGGCAGGGAATACTGTTAAATTTGAGACTAAATGCTTGATCAATTAATTGAAGATATCCCTGTATATAATAACCAAGGGATATTGAAGTGGAATTAAACTGCTGGTTAAAGGTATTTAAAGCAATATTTTAAATTAAAAAATACTAAGTTTCAGGAATCAGTTGCAGATTAATTGACTCAGTTAAAAAAATTTCTTCCGATTGATTTAAAAAACTGTAAAACCAGAGTAATTTGTACATCATACATTCGCTTTATATGTGAACAATCCCTTTTATAATGCTTAATCTACATTCAGATGTTTTTATTATTCTCTGGTTTGATGGGTTACAATACCCATCCAGAGAACTGGTTTAAAACAACGAAATTATAACACAATGAAATATATTGAACGATGTTAAAGAAAAACTGAACACTATTGTTCTTTACAATACAGCTTTTCTTCACATTGAAAACTTCTTAATATTCTCAATATCTTTAAGTTAAAGTTTTTAAAAACGACTCATGCTGAAGAACGTAGCGTCTATACAAAAACAGAAAGTTGCAACATTCAACTCGGATCGTAAAATAATCAATTTAAGTCCAAACAAATTATTCAGATATTACAAAAAAAGTCATCGATTATTTTTCAAATCATTCTCATATAGTTAATGTTTCATATTGTGTTTGATTTAAAAAAATAATATTTCGCTGGCGCTGGATTTTCGAAAATATGAAAATGTCGTCTTCATAATCAAAAATACTCGAAACAGGAATAAATAATTTCAAAAGTAACTATCAGATCATAAAAAATTAAAAATTATCGATGAATATTGGTTGTAATATTTGAATACTTTGTTTGGAATTATATTATTTGTTTACGATCAGAGTGGAATGTTTCAACTATCTGAACTTGCATGGACGCTACGTTCTTCGGTATGAGTCGTTTTTAACATTTTTTTTTCCTTATAGACACAACAGATAGATGTAAGATTAGTAGCGATAAATAGCCCTTATTTTTCGCCGTAAGCCTATACACCCTTTCATTTTTCGCGAACACTCCCTTTAAGCTTAAACTCAAAACTAGAGGAGGAACGAGGTCACAAAGTCGTAGTCTAGTTTGTAGTGGAATACCCTGTCTATGTATTAAGGTGTACTGATGACGAATGGATTTGAGAATGATTACAATGGCACTACGGCTAGAGCACTGTATCCTACACTCTCTCTAGCCTCTCATTCATGCATTGTAAGTGTTAAGTGTATAACTGGGCTTTTTGGGTGATTTGCGCATTCCTTTTCATAGTAACAAAGGTTTTTGGCACAAACTCTGATTTTCTAATCTCTATATCTCTGGAACCCAATGTCGTAGACCTTAGATATTTCAAACTATTAATACTTGTAGATTAAATAGTCTAAGTTTGAAATATCAAAGGTTTGCACCATAAGATTACAAAGATATTGGAATCAGAAGATTTTAGTTTGTGGCAAAAACTCAATTAATTTAGCTTTTAACTGTTTAACTGCCTTTTAAGTCATAACTTTTTCATCGAACTTTATAATAAACTAAATTTTCCCCCTGGGGTTAAATAAGTTGTCAAAAAAAGAGGGGTCCGTCTTCTTTTATTAGATCAAATAATCTTTATAAATATGACTGCATTCCAAATTGATCATTGATAAACAAGAAAACTTTGATAAGCTTGAACATAAAATAATAAATTTTTTATTTTATTTTCACGATTAAAAAACAACTTCAGGCCAATCTGAGACATGCTGTGGTGCCTGGAAAACAGGTGGCATTGCAGGCACAGGACTTTATAGCTAAAGGTAGCAGTTTTAAACTAAAATTTATTACAAACATTTTTCGTCTCAGGAAAAATACAATTCTAAAAAGCAAAAAAAAACTTCAATCACACCAAAATTAGTTTATAAATGGTTCAATCTATTCTTTAATTATTTTTTTGGCATAATGAAATCTAGAAAAAATCATATTTTTAACACATTATTAAAGAGCAAATTTTGATGAAAAATGTTTAGGTACTGAACTGTGTATCCGATACACACATCTACTTCAAACCTCGCTCAAAAGAAGAACTCAAATAAAAGTAAGAATATAAAACTCTTGTTCCAACATACATCTCAATATATATGCTAAACCTAAGATTTTTGTGAAACACATTTCTTCCTTTTAGCAGTCCAACATCTACTCTCACTCATCCATGTTTTTTTATTTTAGAATTCCTGGTATTTTGACTGTACATGTGCTCGGTGTACAGACCCTACAGAGTTTGGTACATTAGCCAGCAGTGTGTACTGCCCTCTCTGCAGGTTTGTACATAACAATGAAGTAAACATGTGATTTAAGTACAACTACAAAAAGATGAAAAAGTGTTAAAAATGTTAATTGTTGTTGCAAGACTTGAGAGGATTTCTCCAAATAGCTTCAAATTATTACAATAAATGGTTCTGCGGATTCAACATTTCGGACCTTATCCCAGAGCAAGCTTTAATTTTCGATCACAGTTGGACATATTAAAATTAAGTTTTTTTTCTCGCCTCATTTTTACTTTTTTTGTCGGCATTTACGTTTTAAATAAAAAAGTATTAAAAGATAACTCCGTAACTTTAAAGATGGTTGAGTTATATGTAGAACAAAACGCGATTGAACTCAAATAGAAGAAACCGAATGCATCTCTCCTTGGTTAGTTTGAATCTCTATTGTTTCAAATAACATTATGTTTTGAATAACGAGTGTATTAAAGGAGAGGAAAGTGAGCAGGTCTTCTCTGGTTCTTGAATCCAACACTACTGATTTGCGGATTTAAAAATCCTAACAGTGCATAAATTCATAATTTTCATTCCTTTCCCAGAGTTGGTTTGATGCTTCCCCAGAACTCCCTTCAGTATTCAATAGTTTCTATATAGTTGACAGATTTTTAATACCGATCTTTAAATATTCCGAAGATTTTTTTTCCAAGAATTAAATGAAATCAAGGAAAGGACAATTATCTATATAATTAAAATATAAATCTCTACTATGTCAGTATGTATGTTAGTTGGGTTTATAGAGGCTAAGTTGGGTTGGTCGACATTTATGGTGAAATTGATTTCTTTTATATGAACCTAAATAATGCATTTCAATATAAATGTTAACACATGTAAGTTTTTATTTGTATGAAATTTATTGAAATAGATGTCGAAATTTTTAATTTAGAAAGAATTTAACAATTATCTCTGGCTTTTCAGAATTGTTAGGAATAGGATTTCTTAAGAAATCAAGAGGAAAAAGTTTTTACACAGACTGTCGCTGTAATTTCACGTGACCTTCAATATACATATAGACGGGTGTGCCGATAAACAACGATATCCCTGAAACCTTCATCTATTAATACGAAAAATAATTGAAAATGATCAATAAGATTATTAACATGAATATCTTAATTATTTACAACTACTTTATAGTGAAGTTAAGGTAATTTTACTTTACCCAGAACCAATTTTGCCTACAAAACATCCAGAGCGCAAAAAAGGATTTTTTTGTAGGCAAAATTGGTCGAGTGAACACGTGATTAAGTATAATTTTTCATTTCCCAAAAAAGTCGTTGTATGAGTATATCTATACACTTTTATTGTTTTTTGAGATGCAAATGCGCGAATTTTTCACGAAAACTTTGCAGAATTGGTGGTTATTTTACTTAATTGAACCGAGGGACGTTAAGTAACTTAACGTCCCTTGGTTGGGGGAATCATGCACAGGTCGGTAATGTTGATCAAACGGCAGTAAAATTCATATTTGATCAGAAAACACTTTTATGTGTACCGTTGTCAATTGGAAATGCAAGTGTTTTTGAAATTATGCATACAAACACTCTTTAAACGCTCTCTTCTAAATGTATAAAATCTTCTTTAAATATTTTGATGTTTGATCAAGTATCCGTGAACCCAGGTTAATGAGGAAAATTGTCAGATATTAAAAGATTAATTTTGAGAAATTCCTTGTAATGATTAGTTAGATATTTGATATTTAGATTATCTAAATTTTACCAGTTTAAAAACATTATTTTCTTCTAGAATTCTGGGCCCAACACTTGATTGTTTAATTTGTAAAATGATAATTCTCGACGCTTTTTTGAAGTAGAAATCATCATTTTACAAAAGAAAAACTTAGATACAGAGGGACCCAAAAATAACGGAATATAATGTATGCCTTTAAATATCCCCTTATTATAAACCATAGCAAATGTGCAGTGTAAAACGGTTTGCTTCATTCTAAAAACATTAGATGCACAAAAGATTGCTAGTAACTGTCGTCTTCCTATTCCAGAGTTTTCTAGGTATCACTGTGTCTTTCCGGGCTGCATTGTTTCTTAAAGGTCTTGGAATCTATATCACACTCATTGATTAATAAATTTGGTGAACATTGATCATCCATTTAACTATTTTCAACTGTCTAGATATATACTTTGCTTGTCCGGGTGTTTGTTTGTTTGTTTGTATCCAGCATTAAAACGGCTAAACCGATCGGGCCCAAATTTTGTGTGGGACTTCACATGACCCAGGGAAGGTTTATGGATGTTTTTGTATTATATGGTACAAAGAGATGATGCCCAGGGATTCGAGCCACAATTAATAGTTGAAATATAAGATGTGCGCGAAGCGCCCTAAAAGCCTTGTATGTATATTGATATAGTTAAAAATTTTATATTTGAATAAGATGATTATGTTAACCTTCATCTTTACTTTTTATGAATAAAATGACAAATTTATTTACAAAAATATTATTGAAAATACCAATCAATATACATGTATAATTGCACGGATTGGTTTATAATGAATGTTTTCGATAAAATCTTGATGTAATCAGACTCTTTTCAAACTTCTTTTTTAACCTTGATCAAATCTGTCAAAAAATAATTCAATTCAAATGTAAGCAGTTTTGTCGTGTATTCATTTAGTGACAGTATATATAAAATTTTTTTTTTAATGATCTGAGTCCAAATTTAAAGAATTCGAGCCGTGTATCTAATCCTCCAATAACCGGTTTTCATTGAGCGCCGGCTTAAATCTTGTAACATAGAATACAATTCTAAGTTGAACCAACCATATTTGAGCCGCGGCTCAAATTCTTTAAATTCGGTCTCTGAATTCCAGGCATAATAATCAAATTGTAATTTCAAGTGACCTTTCATTTCCAGTTATCTAGTTATCTAGTTATCGTTGTATTTCTAGTTTAAAAAGAGTCCAATTCTGACAATTTTATTGTCACAGTACCAGAAATCCGCGAGTCACGAATACTTTTATTAAGAAACAAGTAAAAAAAAACAATTTCCAAAGTTTAAAAATATTCTAGATCTTACATTGCTTTAAAGGGCACTGTTGTGAATCGGAGATAGAGGAACACTTGAAAGTTGAAATTTCACCTACACTCCCTTTAAGCCTTAGTTAGTCTTCACTCTTCAGTATTGATTTTATACCGTTTATTTTCCTTAAATGCCAGTTTATTGGATAATTCAGTTTGTGTTAAAATTTACAAATATTTGAGGGAAAATACCGAATTAATTTGGTTGAATATTTAATGGGTGTGAAAATTAAAAATTAAAAATCTTGACATATGCTTTTTTTATATTTAAAGAATCCTCAGCAAATACTGCTACCCTATGTCGTAAACCTTGTATATTTCAAATTTTGAATTAAATAAGGTAAATATTCATTTCATAATTTCTTTTCTAGAATTTTCTGACGAAGTATAAGAGTTTGCTCCCTCCCTCTAATTGCTATATTGTTATCAGTAAACGTTATATTCACGCTTCCACAGGTCAATATATATATCCGTATATCCCTCTATCTGTCTATCTGTCTATCTGTCTATCTTTCCATATGTCCATCTGTCCATCCTTCTCTCTGTCTATCTGTCCATCTGTCTCTCTGTCCATCTGTCTCTTTCTCTTTGTCTCTCTTTCTATATGCTATTTGTCTATCTGTCTATCTGTCTATCCGAGTAGATGTGATATAAAAAGTGCTAAAACGTCTTTATAAAACTTTTTTTCAGGAAATTCTCCAGACTCTCCTATCTCAAGGGACTGAGTTATTCTTGTTATGATCGAAAATATTTAAAATGCCTTTTGCCAAAATTTTATCTTTAAGAAAACGGAAAACTGATTTCTTCCATAAAAAGACTGTAAAGAGATTTTAAAATGACTTGAATAGGTTGCTAATTTTATAATGAAATATAATGCAAAATTTAATTTGTCGGAAAACAACGATGAATATCTGTTGGATAGTTTAAGAACAGAGGAATTAGAAGATAAAATAAGATTCTACAGATCTTTCCTCAGGTAAAGATGTTCATGGCAAAATAACTGATGATCGCCACCAACTCAAATTTTCTAATCCTAATAACCTAGCAACCAGATTCCGTAAAGCTTTGTAAGCTTAAATTCTGTACGAGCGACTGAATCCAAGAGTCGATTTATTGAATTTGGAAAATTCAAGAGAAATAGAGAAAAATCATTTAAAGGTTGTAGTTTTTTATCATCACATGTGCTAAGAAGAGGCTTTTCTGATAAAAATCAATAACAAACACTAAGAACATGGCTAAAATATGTTAGGATATAGATATCTAAATAAACATATCTATTGTTTATGTATATTTAGATATCTTGGTAACCTGGATCCTGGATACAGTCAGCACTCTGCTCTAGCTACGCTGGAACTTAGTAAGGTGAACAGAACATTAGAAACTTAAATGTTAAGGATATCAAAACTTGTGAGATATTTTTAACATCATGTTCATAATGTTGAACAAAATGTTCGAAATATTTTCGGTCGTTCGAAATTAGGAACAAAAGCATAAGGTTTCTTTTGACGCTTTGGATTTTTGTGATAATCTTTGACCCAGCGCTCAAATAGTGAATGTGAACACCATCACTTCTGTCGGTATACAATTATGTTGATTAAAAAATAACTAATTTGTATTTAACAAAATTAAGAAAGAACATTTTTCTAAGAGTGGTTTACGTTTATATAACAAGAACAGGCCAGCTTTCACGGTGCAGGGTGTCCCACGAAGGAGAAAAATGACTGTTAGGTCGTCTTAGATCTTTTTAATCATTTGAGGCATTCGTTCGTCCACACACTTTAACATGTAGATTCTTGAAACAATAATCTCAAAATTTCCCTAGTCCTGGCATTTACAAAATGTGGTCTGCCTTTTTCACACTTTCAATATTACCAGAGCTATTCAGAATTTCATTCAAATTTCAATTTATTAAACAAAACCAAAAACTGTCGAAATCTGAACAAAATTCTTCTTAACCCCGGTTAATATTGAAAGAACAAAAACAGGCCACAATTATTTTGGAAAGGCTAGGACTAGGATTATTTTTTTATTATTAACTCCAGAATTTTAGTTCTAAATTTAGGTTTAGATCAAAATTCCGCAAGTCATTTCAAAGATGAAAGACGACTTACAAGTCGCCCATGCTACCGTCATGTTTTGTGAAACCACGCACCTCTGACCCTTTAGTAATAGTAAATTCAACCTAGAGACTGACCGTGTCAACCTTGTCGCACCGGCTAGTCCTATTGAGTGTCTGCCTTATTTACCCAATGTCCGGGCGACACAGTACAAACTGGGACCGGAAAGGTTGACCCGGCTCGGAAATTCAAATGTATTACGGCTGCCCGTGAAACACTCATGCATTTGATGAAGTATAGTTTGTATAGTTTTCTTTATACTTCGCCTAGAATACTGTTTTAAAACAATTTTAGGCTGAAGTTGAACTGTTTAAAAGAGAAATGAAGTTGGAAAAAAGAATTTGGATTGAGGAAGAAGAAACAAACGGAGAAAATGGAATAAAAGAAAGCGGAAAAATAAAATCAAAAATACAGAATTTTCTAAAACATCAGATGTTTGTTCAAACCCAGGCACACAGGTATATTTTACAGGGAGCTCCAAAACTAAAAATGGACAACTGAAAATTATTGTTAAATAGTATAATGAGACCCATTAACGGTGGAATAGCAAGATTGCATTTAAACAATCAAATTATTATTTGATGTTATTATAAAACAAGGTTCATGGCAACCAACATATTAAGTAAAACAAGTCTGTACACACTTCACTATTGCGTTAAAATCCTAACTTGAGCCTTAATCGTCAAGTTCTATTCCATAGTTTGATATATAATCTTTTCATAATATTTTGAAGTTAGTTTAGAGAATTTTAATATCTTTAAACGAAATAAATATGGCACACATCCAATCCATACATCAGTTTAAGCAAAAAATATCAATATTAGTTTAGAGAATTTCCTATCTCAAGGGACTGAGTTATTCTTGTTATGATCGAAAATATTTAAAATGCCTTTTGCCAAAATTTTATCTTTAAGAAAACGGAAAACTGATTTCTTCCATAAAAAGACTGTAAAGAGATTTTAAAATGACTTGAATAGGTTGCTAATTTTATAATGAAATATAATGCAAAATTTAATTTGTCGGAAAACAACGATGAATATCTGTTGGTTAGTTTAAGAACAGAGGAATTAGAAGATAAAATAAGATTCTACAGATCTTTCCTCAGGTAAAGATGTTCATGGCAAAATAACTGATGATCGCCACCAACTCAAATTTTCTAATCCTAATAACCTAGCAACCAGATTCCGTAAAGCTTTGCTATTTCAAACATTTTCTCTCCAAGCAGTAGCGCATACAAAGGGGGCAATAGCCTCTTGCCCTCCCACTGGGCATCCCAGGGGGGTGCCCTACCCCACTNAGATGTCTAAGAAAACGTGTTGTTTAGATGTCTAAGAAAACGTGTTGTTTAGATGTCTAAGAAAACGTGTTGTTTAGATGTCTAAGAAAACGTGTTGTTTAGATGTCTAAGAAAACGTGTTGTTTAGATGTCTAAGAAAACGTGTTGTTTAGATGTCTAAGAAAACGTGTTGTTTAGATGTCTAAGAAAACGTGTTGTTTAGATGTCTAAGAAAAGTTGGGATGAGTAAAGCTAACAGCTCAACAGGGGTTGAACAGAAGACGACTTTTACCAGCTGCGAATAATAATCATCTTACGTACAGGGTGCACCAATAATCATGAGAATCAAATGACGACTTTTATATCGTCTTCGATATACGAGCCCGGCATTCCAAATTACAGTTTTTCCAAAATAACTAAATAATTACCACAAACTATAATTTTCTAATCCTCATATCTTAGAAATTTAATAATGGAGACCTTTGATATTTCAAATTATGAATTTTAAAAGATTAAATGTCCAAAGTTTAAAATATCAATGGCTGCATCCTTGTTATAAAAAAATATAGGGATTCAATAATAAGATTTTGTGGCAAGTGTAGTTAGTGCCTTTCCTACATGCATGATTCGCCTTTTTGTACCTTTAAAACTGATCGAGATATTAATAAGATTGCACAATTTTAACTTTTATTCAATAAAACACTTTTTATAACTTCTTAGTTTTTAAAGATAAAAAAGAGGGTGGCCCAAATTTTAAAAATCTAATTTTCACTGTCTTTTTTTATTTTCTAGATTCAAAACGAATTTCCCATTATTATCAGGACACCCTGTACTTCTGAATCATTTCAACTCATAAAACTTTGAATACTGAGTTTTATACAGTTTTTGTATTAGATGTATTTGATAGAAATAAATAATTATGTAGATACAATATAAATATATACATTCACAAGAACATACTTAACATCAGTAGGGTCGCTGCAACTAGAAAAAGAAACAAAAATAATTTTTTTTTGAATTCAAAAAATTAAATTTATGTTATGAATTTAATACCTTGGCTGAATATGGCTTGTAATCACACCAGGCCGGGGTAGGCACAAATCCCTGAAAATTTAAGTGTTTGGAACTGAGAATTTTTGAATAAAACAAACTGGTTTAACTCAGAGCAATATAAGTGCCATGAGTCAAGAACTTTTAAAGGAGGAAACTGGGTCAAGTCCTTTAAGATTTACTCTTAGTTGAAGGAAATTGATTTATATCCAAGCAGAAAAGCTTAAAAACTTATCCCTCAATGTTCATGCAGTAAATGAGAAATAGAAGTTGGCCCTTTAACCCAATAGATTACTTTTACCAATATTTGGAGAACTTAAATAAAACAATAATAAACTATTTGGCTACACTATACAACACAAAGATACATACAATCACAATTTATTAAAAAAACGATTTATCTAATTTGTATTGGAGATTGTTTTTAAAAACGAAGAAAAAAAAAGTCGTTTTTCGTTTCGTTTTTAATTTAAAAATGTTCAAAACTGATAGTTTTTGTTAATTTTTCCCCAAGTAAATTGTTTATTGTGAAAGATGGTTCTTTATCAAGTGATTAAAGCTATGAGAAAATTCAGGCGTGGGAAAGGGATATGCTTGGAGTAGTACTAGGAGACATTAACAAAACTATATGACCTTATAATAATTATTTGCTATGATAAAACTTACCTTACAAGGCAAAAATCCATTTCCTGAAAAACAACAAGAAATATGTAATTGCAAGAAATAAAACATTTATAACCTTGAATACGCTCTTTCTAGTATAGTTCGCCTTGGGTTTGGTTTCATTTTCTATTTTTTTTTTATGTTATGAGCCCTTACATAAATATATTGTTAATATTTGATTTAATATTTTGATGCAGAATTCAGAAACAGGGTTTTAAAAATTCAAACTATTGGTAAGTCCCCCTCCCCCCTCTCAAGCTTGTTATGTGTGATCTTCGAATCTTATTGGTCCGTGCCAAAAATAATTAGTTCACCGACTCCAATCATAGATGAGAGGAAACTATTTGATTTTAGTTCAAATAATCAAATCTAGGTGTCTCTAGTTTACATTTAAAACAACTCATATTTAAATTGATATGTTGAATTTTTATGAGCATTATTTTACAACCTTGTAAATAAAAAAACACAAACTTTAACTTTTTTAATTAATTTTGATTTTATGTACTTGAAAAGTATTACATTCATCACTTAAATGATTAAGAATATATTAAGAGATTTTCATTATTGTTAAAATCTGGTATGATGGTTAATATTAATAATATACTGTAACATAGAATCTGAAATAAGCCGGTCAAACCCGTATGTCAAACTGTTTAAATGTTGGGACAAAGCGTTAATTCTAATCTCTGTGTATAGTCCAAACTCCAGGTTGTCCAACCCTGCGTACGCCCATGGTACGCCCTATACATGCCCTCCTCAGGCCCCCTTAGAGGCCTAAGTTACATTTACATTCTTGTGTCCTATCAATTGAAAGTTTAAGTTCCTATCATGATCATTTATCCAATTCGTTTATTAGACATTTAATCTTATTATCGGGGTTAATTTTATTTAAAATCCATATTTGAGTTTAAGCTGTTTGACCAAGAGTTTAGGAGAGTATTTTTCAATTAAGTTAAAGTTCACAGGTTGAGGGGGGCAGTTGCCCAGTGGGAACAGATAATTTCAAGGGGACCAATGTTTAGGAAAAGGATGTGCACTGCAGGGTTGTGAACACTTTGACTTTTAACCATATCTTGGATGAGATAGGGGAGCGTAATACAGGGCTAGTATTCCTCTTTGTTCTTATTACTATATAATACTTAATCCTTAATATAACACCGATTTAAACATTAATTTATGTGTGAAATTTAAAATCAATACTTAAGAATAGCGTATTTTTTTCCTTTTAATCCGAACATTAAAAGATGTGAGATCCATGCATAAAAAATTCAAATCTTTAATTTTTCTCTTAAAAAATGAGATTTCAAACTGATTATGTTTACGGGAGAATGAACTTATTTATCTATGTGTAATTTAGCCCATGGATTATGTAAAACAAACAATATACATAAAATGAAATTATTTCAAAATTGATGTATTAACGTTGAAAACGAAAATATACGTTTTCTGAAATTAATCGGTATTATAAATTTTTCTCACTAGTGTTAATGCCATATTTACCAAAGGAGCCAACGATCCTCCCTCCCCTCCCCCTCCGACAATTGTCAGGTGTTTTACTCGAATCTGATTGGTCCGTCCCTAAAGTTATCAATTGACCGACTCCAATCATAGAAGAGGAAAAACTAGCTGATATTAGTTCAAATAATAGAATGTAGGAGTCTCTGATTTACACTTCCAGATTGTTAATACTTTTATCATAATAGTTAAATTTCTGAGTATTAATTTTTCCTTCAATGAAAAACCTAATTGCAAATGTTTATTTTAAAAACTTTTTCATTTAATTGGTTTTGCTTATAAACATTAGAAAGAAATAAGAAAATCAATGAAAATATTTAATTATTGCTTCTTTGTCCTGTTAGACCATCTACTCAGTTTTTGTAGAAGAAAGTTCTTCTACTTACATCGTATGATTGTACACTTTCATTAGAGTAACTTCATCATTACAGCTGAATGTAAACGATTGATAAACTATAAAGCTTAAAATGGATGTAATGGGACTGTTCATAAATAACAATTGTAGAGGAGAATTTAGAAAAAGTTAAGAAATAACTATATGATATCTTCTAGGACAGAAAAAGTTCTTAATCAATGTGAATATTAAAGGTTTTAACATTTAATAATAAACTTGTTCATTTGAAGAAACTGGTTTATTTTCTTAAATTTTACAATGGTCATTTTTGGGATTATTTTGGAAGAATGCTTTGCTGACTTGCTGATGACCAGCGATAAATTAGGTTGGTAGTGGGGGGGGGGGAAGGAGCGTGGGGGGTGACTCAATATTTTTGAAGAATAGAAGATCAGGATGTTCAATGTGAATTTCGTTTTTCTAAGATGTATACGCACTATTACCAAGTGCAAGAAAATCTCAGTAGTCTTCTTTTTTCACAAAACTTTCAAGAAACTTACTCTTTTAACAAAAACACTTGAAAAACTCATCTTTTGTATGGATTCAGATATCAGGTAACTTGAAAAAAAATTTTAATTTCCTGTTTAGCACAAATTTACAAACTCCATCTGTTAAAAAATGTTAAACATAGCATGTTAAGCATTCTGTTTAACTGCACTTGAGATTTATTGAAACATAGTGGGTTTATTTTCAGATTAAATTGGTGGCCTAAATATCTTTCGGAACCTTTCCTAAACATGATAAGAATGAAATAATATTACAATTTATAACAAAAAGACAGGGGCGTATTCAGGAATTTGTCCAGGGGGGGCTTCCATTTTTTTCTATTTCCAGGGGGGGCTCAGCACCCGTTGGGGCCAGAAAACCCCTGACATCAATAGATTTCACTGGTCCAGGGGGGGGGGGGCTTACTCGAATCTACTCGAAAGAATTGGGGAGAAATGCTGAACAAAATTTACGAAACAATTTTTTAATCCATATGTAATCCATCCGGAAAAGAATTGGAACAACCAAAACAATTGAGTTTTGCCACAAGCTTAAATTTTATGACCCCTATCTTTCCAACCTGATAGTGATTGGTATTATTAACCTTTGATATTTCATCCTACAGTTTTCATAAGTTTCATAAAGTTTTACACTATCAGGTTGAAAAGATGAACAGATTAGAAAATCAGAGTTTGCGGCAAAGACTCAATTCTTTTTATTTTTAGACAATAATAATGATAATTTTTTAAAAAAATCTTGTAATTCCTGTATATTTGATAATGCTGTGCACATGTTGGGGAAGTGGAGTAAAATCACCCGCAAGCTTTTCAGGAAACAGGGTTACCTAAATAGATTATTTTTCAGGAAACATGGACTGCTTAAAATGTATTTTTTTGTTCTTCAGGTAAACAGGGTTACCTAAACCAGATTTTTATAGGAAACAGCTAGGGCTACCTAAAATGGATTATTTTTCAGGAAACAGGGTTGCTTAAAATGTTTTTTTTTTCAGGAAACAGGGTGTTTCGCTACTTAGCGATTTCCCTAAAGACCTAATATATATACCGTGTGGTATTTCTCAGGACCGGATCGTAAGACTCCCTTCTCTCAACGCTCTTCATAATAAAAAGGATGATAGTAAGGTTCCGAACGTTTATTTCTCTGAGCCTTCAATCTAAATAAGTTTAATAAACCCACAGAAAAAACTTTGAGTGACAAATCATACAACTACAATAAACAATTCACTCAGGCATTAAAAAACTGTGGCTAGGAACCAATAAACACATATACAAAATATCAATCATACTATAATCAAACTGATAAGCATAAATATATATAAAATAGTTACCACAGTGATCCCAGAATTCTGAACACGGCTAATACTTGCAAAACGAATAAACATATACTGATATAAATTATTTACTACTCCGCGAGAAATCTTGCGTCTGCGCAGTCGGTCTGTAAACAGTTCCTAAACTAGTTCTTTCACAATACATTCCGTACAGATCTTCAGGGAGAACTCAGAAATACCCAGGGGTGACAAGCAGACTTTCTACACGCAGCATGGCTCGCGTAACACAGGGTTGCCTAAAACTTTTTTTTCGGAAAACAGGGTTACCTAAACCAGATATTTTACAGAAAACAGGGTTACCTAAAATCCATTTTTTCTTCTTCGTTGGAGAGCCAAAACTTTTCATTATCATTGGAGACCCACGGCTTCTCATTGAGACTCCAGATTTCATAGGAGACCAAAATAAATTCATTGGAGACCCCAGATTTTTTTAGAGACCCACAGATTTTCTTTGGAGACCCCCAGATTTTTATTGGAGACCCATTGGGACCCCATTTTTTTGTTGGAGACTTTCAGATTTTCATTGGAGATCACAGATTTTCGATGGAAATCCTCAGATTATCATTGGAGACCCCCAGTTTTACATAGACACCCCAGATTTTTGTCACAGATCCCCGGATTTTCATTGGAGACCTCACAAAATATATTGGAGACCCCAAAGATTTTCATTGGAGATCCAAACTTTTCATCAGAGACCCCATTTTCATTTGGGATCCCGTACTTTTCGTTTTAAATCCATTGGAGACACAAAAACTTAATTGGAGAACTATTAAGTCCCCACTTTTTTTAAAACACCAATTTGGGGTCTCCAATGAAAATTTTTGGGTCTCCTAAACAATTCTGGTGTTCTCCAATGAAAATGAACTTTAAAATGTCTCCATGAAAATTTGGGAGTCTCCAATAAAAATCTGGGGTCTCTTATGAAAATCTGGTGGTCTCCAATGAACATCTTTCCAGGAATATGTACATCAAAGCTCAGAAAATTTTTGCTCTCTATATAGAGAAAATTTAATAAAGAATCAGAGTTTTTGCCAAAAACTCAAATTCACGTCGTTTTAAATATCAAAGGCCATCAAGTTGTAAAGATATACGGCTTAAAAATCAGTGTTTGTGGCAAAAACTTAGTTCCTTTCTTTTATAAATGATAGTCTATAAACCTAGATTTAAAAGGACTGAAGAGGATATAAAATATATCGAAATTAATTTCCAAACCCGCGTTTTTCTACCTGTAAGAGTAAAACCTTTTTTGCCAGTTTGGACAATTTACACCTAGATTTAAAAACTTTGTGCATGATGACATCAAACTTTTATTGTTAAAAAAACTTTAGTCTACAATCACAATTAAGTTTTTTCCTCAGTCTACTTTTTTCACGTCATTATTTTTTTCTTTCGACAAATATTTTAATCGTCATATTGCATAAAAGACGCAGATTTTTTTAAGAACATTATACTTGTGCATGGATTGATGGTTACACTTAGACAAAGTGTCTGGAAACTGAATTGTTATTACCGAAGCAACCTTTACACATACAGAAGGTGCAAAATGTTTTTCTTTGTAAATAGATCATTAGTGTGGCTTTTATATTAGATTTAGGAAAATGTTCGTTGCAGATAACATTTGGATTGGGTCTTTCTTTTCCAATCTACTAGGTTTAACCATTCCTCCCGAATAGAGTGTAAAATAAGTCCGGGAATGGAGCTATTTGAACAACAATATTTCACTGAGCAATATATCATATTGACGAGAACTGAAGAAGGACATGAGAAGGACTAAACTAACTTAAATTTCTCTCTACAGAACTCATGTACACCACAAGTACTCAATGACATAACAACAGCCAATGCTCACAACCGACCTAGTTAATCTATATAATAGGAATATCTTTAAAACATTTCTGTACATTGATATCTTTCAAGATGAAAAATGTCGTCTTATGCGCAATCTAATCTTTATCTATGAAACTACATTGTAAATTGTGATCTTTTATTTGTATATGCTCGGTTTCTATAAGGCAGAAAACGAGTATAATCCCCTAATGCTTGATTTCTATAAGGCAGAAAACGAGCATAACCCCCTAATGCTTGGTTTCTATAAGGCAGAAAACGAGCATAACCAAAGCAAAAACAAAAAAATCGCGGATTTTATAAAAAAAGAATTCGTGGATTTTCAAAATTTTCAAAAATCGAATTTTGTTAGAGTCAAATTTTTGAATATTTGATCATCCATAAACCTTTCGTGGGGTCAAGCGAGGTCCCACAAACAATGTGGGTCCGATCGGTTCAGCCGTTTTGACGTTTATTGGATACAAACAAACACCCAGCACCCAAGCAAAGTATCTATAGATAATTTTACTTTTGCCCTTACATTAGAAAAACTATGAAAGAAAATGAAAAAAGTTGCCCACGTATATTTGAATTTCAACTTCGTTGGCCATCAAAATAATAGGTGAAATACGAAATGAAGAAATTTGACGTAGCAAGGTCTAATTCAATAAAACATGTTTTATTAAAATATTTGTATTCTAGAAATGGAAAGAAAGCACCTGGATCCCCCATTCCGTCCTAGCTGTTAGCAGAGTGATTAAATACAACCCCTTCTTCCCCCCCCATCCCGCACTACTAGACGAGACACCAATCAAGGATTCTTATTGGTTGAAAAGAAAATTAATAGATTTATGAGATTAGTTCAAATAAATAAACATAGGTGTCGTACAGCTCAAAGTAAAAATTTGCTTTACTAAACCCAATTTTGAAGTTCATGATGTATAAATAAAAACAAAAAGTTGGATCTTTATTAGAAATGGTTTAATAATTTATAATTTATCAAGAAGAGCTATTTTATTATTTTTCCGTTTTCAACAATTTAATATTTATTATAAAATCGTATGAGGAGAGTGAATTACAGCTCCACTCGTTAAATGACACCAAATGTTAAGTCGAAGTTTTTAGATATTTTCTATAAGAATTAATCAATCTAGAAGATAAGTATTCAATACTCATAGTTTAAAATATCAAATTACATCAGGAGTTCACGACAAGTGGGACTAGACAAATATTTGGCATTGTATTATTACAGCAATGTCTAAAAATTTGAAGATTTATTTTGCAATTTGCATTGACTTCACTGTAGATTTCTTAAATTTTTTTAGAATTTTGATACCCATCTCCCCCCTGGCCCCACCGCACAGCCAAATGTAGTAATTTGGCAAAGTAAATATTTTATGTCTCACTTTCTTTTGCTTCCATGTATTTCTGCCGTTTTCAGTTAAAAAGAAGGTTTACATTTCAAGGTTTATTTTCTATCATTTATAGCCGATTTGTTGTGAAAATGTGACAAAAACCCAATACCGATTTTTAAATTTTCGACAAACAATCAGAGACACCTAGTGGTCAAAATAGAAACTAAAGGAAAAGAAACCTGTACTATTCAACCCTGAACTTTAACCCTGCTCCTCCCAGGCAGATTAGAAAGTTTATAATTGTTAGACAGATAGATGACTAAATTGAAAGATAGATCGAATGGTCAGGTTTACTATATAAGGGAGATAGATAGACAAATTTGTAGTAATTATGATTATATATATATATAAAATCAAACTTTGGGTGGATCGTATCGTTTGCACTAATGATTGATCGGACTGACGTACATTCGCAGTAACGTTCATTCGGACTATCGTTTTATTTGAGGGTTAGGTCAGGTTAAGACAATTTCTGGGCCGAGCGCTGCAGCTAGGACAGGCTGAAATACATTTTTTTCAGGAATCAGGGATACCTAAAATACAATTTTTTTCAGGAAACAGGATTACCTAAAATACATTTTTCAGGGAACAGGGTTACCTAAAATACATTTTTTCCGGAAACAGGGATACCTAAAATACATTTTTTTCAGGAAACAGGGATACCTAAAATATATTTTTTCCGGAAACAGGGATACCTAAAATACATTTTTTTCAGGAAACAGGGTTACCATAAAATATATTTTTTTCAGGAAACAGGGTTACCTAAAATATATTTTTTCCGGAAACAGGGTTACCTAAAATATATTTTTTCAGGAAACAGGGTTACCTAAAATATATTTTTTCCGGAAACAGGGATACCTAAAATACATTTTTTTCAGGAAACAGGGTTACCTAAAATACATTTTTTTCAGGAAACAGGGTTACCTAAAATAAATCTAAAAAAGTTTCTTTACGGAGACAAAGTTACCGAAAAATGAATTTTTTTTTACTCCAAAAAAGTAATATCATAAAAATGTTCATGAAAAAAAGAACAATAGAAAGTATATAAAATGATCTTTCCTTGAATTGTAAATCTTTAATATTATATTTATATGGTCCATAGAGAGTCACTTTTACAAAATATATATTTTTAAATATCATTATCAGTACCTTTAAAACAACTGTGAGCACTGCTAGTAGAATAATGAGTCCCATCGCAACAAATACATAAATACTTTCAAGCATTCCCTAAACAACATTAAAACTTGTACTTCAGACTGTACACATCATTTTTGGTACATGTTTTAGCTAAAATAATGACAACATCCTCGTTTATCTAGAAATTAGAATAATTAGAAATAATTTTTAATTGTGAGTTTTCTATATAATGACTAGCGGATTTTATGCAGTAGAAACAAAGAATGTAATGTAAAGAGCACTTTTATAAATGGAAAAAGACGAAATCTTCCCCATTATTGACAAGGTAAAGGTTTAAAGAGGATTAAGGTTTAAAGGTTTAAATAACAACGACACGCCTTAAGAGCAAATTTTAAAAGGTTTGCAGGACACTATCATCGGTCCACCTGCCTAATTCTGTTGCTTGGTCAACCACATACTTTGTACACCATAGTTTCAGTAGAAGTAAATATTTCCATTTAGTGTAAAACGCCGATATAAGGATTTATCTCTAATTGGATAATGAGATAGATAGAAAGATAGATGTTACCGCTATGCAATTTCTATTGGTTCAAAATAGACACCTTGCATCATTTTTAACTAAACTGTCAACTCTGTCAGAAAGAAACCAAGGGGTTGGGGCTAGTTGAAGAAACCAAGGGGTGGGGGCTAGTTGAAGAAACCAAGGGGTGGGGGCTAGTTGAAGAAACCAAGGGGTGGGGGCTAGTTGAAGAAAACATTAAAGCGCAAGTAAACTTAATCCCCACTTCCTAATAACCGTTGGTAAATAGATACAAGACTAAATGAAGTAAACATGAAAAGCGTAAATAAATCCCATTCCCCTATCCTGTTAACCGATAGTATTGGTAAATAGATACATTCATGAGAAAACAGACAAAAAGAACTAATTACTGGAGAAAACAAATCTCAGGGTTTTCAATCAAATCGGATTGAGTTTGAGGAAGAAAAAAGAGAATTATTGACAAGCTTCTTTCTTTCTAGAAGAAAAAATGATTGATCAGCATTCTATACCATTTTTTTCTTTCAAGCCACTTTTATAGAACTGCAGCTAAACTATAGACTAAATGAACAGAATCGTTCAATTATTAAAATGTTAGAAAAAATCATTTGATTTTACCATTTTGCTTCTGTTTTAGAACCTTTTAAACACCTAGGCACCCCCTAGTTAGCCTACGGTAATGAAACATATTTTGTGGATTAGATACTGAAATTTGTCTAATTTATTTGGTAAAAAAAATAAAAACCTGTTTTAATTTAAGTTTTTGTTTTTCATCTTCTAGTTCTCTTAATCTCCTGTCCTCCTCCTCCTGTTCTCTATTATACAGCGCTGCTTTAGTTTCCTTTAGTTCTTGATTCTCTGGTATTGAGGGGAGTAGACAATCCTGGGTACAGTGTAGGATACTTCCTTTCTCCAGGTACTCCTGGGTACAGTGGAGGATACTTCCTTTCTCCGGGTACTCCTGGGTACAGTGGAGGATACTTCCTTTATCAAGGTACTCCTGGGTACTGGATAAACTTCCTTTCTCCAGACAATCCTGGGTACAGTGGAAGATACTTCCTTTCTCCAGGTACTTCTGGGTACAGTGGAGGATACTTCCTTTACTTCCTTTATCAAGGTACTCCTGGGTACTGGATAAATTTCCTTTCTCCAGACACTCCTGAGTGCTTTGGAGGATACCTCCTTTCTCCATGTTCTCCAGGGTACTGGATAAACTTCCTATCTCCAGGTACTCCTGGAAACAGAAGACCGATTTTCTGTTCTCAGGGTTCTGATTAGTACAGGAGAGTGAAGTTGTTTTCTCTAGATTCTCCTGGGTGAACGTGAGCGAAGTGTTTTTCTCCAGACATTCTTCTTTACAGGAGTGTAATAGTCCTTTCTTTGAAAACGTCTTTTCACATAAGAGCAAACTATCTTTTTCCACATCATCTACAACCATAGTTATCTAAAAAAGTTTTTTTTTAAATAACATAACTATAATTTGATAGAATAAAATGAAAACCAATGTTAAATCACCCTGCTGCACTCCAGACAAAGGGAAAATATCTAATCTATGCAAAATCACTGGTACGAATTTGTGACCTCGTAGTTTTTTTTTTTTATCCAAGTTGGACAAAAGCAAATTTGAAAATATTAAAGATTTCATTTTTACCTAAAATTAACTAATTTCTTGTCACAGCCTCAAATTTTTGCAACCTGATTGTGAAAACTATTTGATGTTTTAAACTTATTCTATTTAGACTAGTTTATGTACTAGAATTCTACGACATCGGTTGCAAAGATATAGAAATTACAAAATGAGAGTTTTTGGCATGAACTCATTTCCTTAATTTTTACTTGACGTACAACAGTCTGAACAAAATTATATTAGGTTTCTACATAAGATATAGAGTAGTAATTTCTGTTTTGATTGTTTCTTTGTATGTCCGATCATAACTCAGGAACTCTTTGACCGATTTACTAAAACTTTTAGACTTGGGAATCCGGTAGAACCACATGAATGTTTTATTTCCAAGCTGGGCGGGTTGACTTTTATCGGGAAAGTTAAGATTTCGAGGCAAAGCTGGGTTCCCAGAATTGTGTAAAGAAAAAGTAATATTATAAGTGTAAATAGGAAAAACAATTACTACAAGATCTCATCCGATAATTGTAAGATAATGTAGAATTAATAGTTTAGAATGTAATTATCCACTTTACACAATGTAAAGCTAGCAATATTATAGGGCTCCCTCATTTCACCGAAAAATAAAAACATTCTGCATTTTATTATTTCATTTCTTTCCTTATCACTCTTTCAACAAATTGAACATCTTGGGAATTTCTATCCCAAATTCTTTATTTTCTTTTTATTCAAACTGTTTAATTTGTCTCACTCTTTCTGAATGGTATTAGTTGAGTTTTAGTAACAGATTTTCTTTTTCTTTCAAACTTAAAATTTAATTTTGTTCTTTTCCTTTCCAAAATTTGAATATATCCTCTTTATTCCTAGCTTTGTTTCTTTAAAAATTGTTGGGTTGAGTTTTAGTAACACATATCATTCTTTTTTCAAATTTTTTTCAAACTTTTAAAAAAAATTTCTTTTCTTTCCAAAACTTTAAGTATTTCCTTTTCTTTCCAAACTTCCAAATATTTCCCTTTATACCCTTTGTCATTTGTTCCAAACTTCTATTTTTCCCTTTCTTTCCAAACTTCTAATTTTTCCTTTACTTTCCAAACTTTAAACTTAATCTTCTTCTTTCCAAGGAGACATATTATCAACCCCCTTTGAAGAGTGTAGAAATAAACAGAAAGAATTAATACTTGATTTAATGCCACCTTTAATCTCCCA